TTTTTTTTTTTCTAAATACATTATAAGTACATCTTCCATTTGACATACTTTTTATTAAAATTAGACAATTTTACCTTATATAGGGGGGGTTCAAACTTTGAGACATTGTATAAAAAATAGAACTTTTTCAACTGAACTTTTGAAAATGTTTCGGAAATACTGCGTCCTTTAAACATATATCAAATTAAAGCTTTTTTTATGTACTATAAAATGAAAAAAAAAAATTTGTCCCGACACCTTATCTTCTATGTGCAAATGGCTGTCGAAATTATAAAAAAAATGTAATATTTGCGATAAAAATCACCTTTTATAACGATGTTTTTTGTACTTAAAACTGCCATAACTTTTTCAAATATTAACTAATCAAAATAATATTTCTTTATATTGAAACCTTAGGTAATTTTCTTTCATTTGATATCATTTTTTTTTGAAAATCTAACACTTATTCTGCTCACAGGGGGGATTTAAAATAGCAACTTTTTTACAAAAACTAACTTTTTCAACTTAATTTTTGAAAATGTTCCGGAAATACTGCGTCCTTTAAACATATATCAAATTAAAGCTTATTTTATGTACTACTAAATGAAAAAAAAAAATTTGTCCCGACGACCTATCTTCTATGCGCAAAAGGCTACCGTATTTAAAAATATGCTATTTTTTATTAAAATTCTAGGTTTTGTATTTTATTTTATTTTAAAATATCTTATTAGGGGAATAAACTGACTTTCATGAATATTATATAATTTAATTGACTTAGAATAAAGTTCATAAGACATATGAAATTAAACATATTAAATTTTTTTTACTTTTTTAAAGTCGAAAAAGTAATTTTTAAATTTGAGTTAGCTTAAATAGCTAATTTTATCATGCAACAAAAGTCAACGAATAGTTGCCGAATGGGTAACACCTTGATNGTAACGAACAGTTGCCGAAAGGGTAATACCTATATCTTTTACGCTTAGGGTACGAGGTTCATATCCGTCTGTGGCTTTTAATATTTTGCATTTTTTTTTGAGTTAGAATAGAATTTTCAAATCATTTGATATTTATCTCATTTAGATTCAATAATTTCAATAAATATAAAGGATCTTATCACTATAGTCTCCCCTCGTGAGAAGAAATTGATATTCATGTTAATATTATTTNCGAAAAGAAATTTATATTCATGT